ACCAGCCTGGTCAGTGCTGGATATCCCTCAATGTTGATCTCTCCCATCGCCCTCTCCAGGATGAGGAAGTTGGCCATCGCGTAATTTCCCCTTTCGAACTCCCTCCAGTCCCGGCACTGCACTACCCCCTCTGACACCCCACACCGCGCATCAACGTGAACCACCAGAATAACTAAGAACATGAACATCGTGTCTCTTCGAATTTGGAATTAAGATGGCGAATTTTTTCCTTCATCTCTTATATAATAAATAATGACACATTCCAATTAGGGGTGGAATGGTCATTTAAATTACGAGGTCATGAGGACAGCCAAGGGACTTCTTTAATCGCTGGACACATGGCATGGAACAAGCTATTTTCTTGCATGTGTAACATACATAGCTCACACTTCTCTCCACTCAGCAAAGTCTACATTCAAAATACGTAATTGGAAATCGGGCGTACATATAACCCCACCTCACCTCTCCAGTCTGTTCATTCATTCTGTGGCTCATGATTTTTTGAGGGGGTTCGAAAGAGAGTGAGGGTTCTGTAAAGAGAGCCAAAGAGAGTAGAAATATGTTAGTCAACAATATATAATCATTGTTTTGCATAAATTGATGTACTTTGTTAGGCTAACGTATTAAAATTTAATATAAAAAATATGTTCCACAGGTCAATCTCGGTCATAAAAAAAATTATGGACTCAAACTTCGTAAAATTGTATTATTTTTACTGAATAATATTTAAGAAAAAGATTAAGCTTAAAAAATTATATGTTGTCATTACTTTAAAAAGTTTTTTTCCTTACACCGATTCTATTCACCAATTCGTATAATCCAGCGGGATACAGGTAGGACAATGGAACAGGCCTTGTTGATTCAAATGATCATCGCGCATGAAACGTGGAACGAGTGAATCGAAGTCAGGAATAGCTTTCCCTATTTCAGTCACCTGAGACTTCAACTTTCTGTACTCGATCGGGCGAAGATAAAGTTCCTTTTTACACTTATTTCAAAACATTTTTCGAAATAGACAATCTATTCTAATGTAACTCCAGGAAAAGATTTACAATCAGAATTTACTTCTGTTTGACGGGATCGGTTATATTTCACCCATTTTTCGAATAATATTCTAGTGCGAGATTCTAAACTCGAAGTATTGTGACCTTCGTGTACAGCTAAACAGCGGAACGCACACAGATTATCTTTGTAAAACTGCCCTTTTCTGTCTTTTAATAAGGAAACTATATTAGCAGATTTTTTAATGTGGTCGGGTAAAATGATTTCGCCTTTACCCAAGACGAAATTTAAGTGATAAATGACGATGCGGACATTTGTGATCAGAAATGGTTTCCATTTCGTGTCAGGTCGTTGTCGTAAAATGTAATCAGTAATATTCATTTGTCTCATGCGTAAGTATAAACGGTGTAAATGTGTTCGCTTCGACACGTAAATTTGTTATTATTTTATATATACATGTGTATATATATTCAACAATTTGATTTGTGAGTATTTTTAACAAAACTTACATTATTGTGAGTTGAAGTCGACGTATCTAATATAATGATTTTACGAATCTGGGTCTCCGCAGTCTGCAAAATAATGGAATTGACACACAAACTAAAATTTTGATTCTTTTTAGTGTATTCTAATTAACAATCAATATCTAATGAATGATCAAGTATGTACACATGTATGTATATATACAAATATATATACTTACTTTCCCGCTTCCAAACTCTAATCTTTTTTTGATGCGTCCAAACAAATGTCTTTTAGGGGTGGACGCCACCAGGGGTCTTGCCGAGAGCCACAAATCATTTGTCTATGATATTAAAAAGATAATGTGAGATATTGCCTAAAAATCTGTTCCTTGCATCTTCCATTGTGCTGTTTAAACGATTGTATAAGGTTAAGTACTACCTTCTGCTTTTATCACATTTAAATAATTTGTCTTTGTGTTCATTCTGTACATGTAATCTACATTGAGAAGACAATTTGAATTCTTTTTCGCAGTGCGGAAACTTTTTTTGTAAAGTTTAAACCCATATTTATTCCTAAAGATTGTTTTTGAGTTTTTAAAACATTTCGAAATGTAGTAAGAGGGGCTTTGAGTCTTCTCTTTGAGATACATTTGCAAGAATATTAAGTTGGGTCTCCAAACGATGTTTTATGTGGTGTGATTTTCTCAATCTACAATTCTTTGATCTTTTAAGTAAGCGCTGTGCCGTAATCAATCTGTTGGAATGTGTCTTGCGCTTTTGATGCGAAACGATGCAAGTCTTTGAACAGAGACCAATGATCTCGTCCCCTTCATATTCGATTTTAAAGAGTTCAGGCGTTCTACGATCGTACTTTGTGTGTTCCTTACAGTAAGTGCGAGGAAACCAATGCCGGTCGCAGTCCGCCTCGATCGCTAAACTGTTCTGTAGAAGAACTTTTAGGTCTCTTTTTAATTATAAAAATAACTACTTTCTTATCATTTTAGGTATCTTTTCTAAGAATTTGGTGGCCCTGAAAAGGGCCGTTTGTTTTTTTTTTTTCATTGACTATTTTCTCTATATAGCCGAATAGCTTCAAGGAGGGCCGCACCTCTTCCCATTCCTCTACCCACTCCTCTCCCTAGACCGATAAATTGTTGCTGGTGAGGCTTAGGTGGTTGAGGGGGTTTGCTCTCCTCGAGCTCTCTTTGTGGCTCTTCTCGATCCGCTAGATCCGAAATCTGCAAATGGGACACGGCCGCCAGTTTTCTACATTCGCCAACTGCAAGGTGCACTGGCTGCAGGCTGGACGTTGTCTGCAGCATCCACATATATAGACGCTGAGACGCTCTACCTCCAAACAGACTGGACAGCTTCTCAGTAGGACGCTTGCCGCCCGGATGGCCCAACTTGGAACTATTTCAGTTCCTGGCGGTAAAGTTAAACCGCCGTTAACATGGTTAAGGACTTAATCCTCCTGACGAATGAACATCGACGGAGATCGATAAACCCTGTCTGTAGTGTCTGTAAACCAGGTCTTTTTTTTATCATTCAGCCAGCAAAATGAATCTTATATTCGACAGACAAAAGTATTGCTTTTAAATTTAAGAAAGTAAACTCATACTGGTTTTTTGTGTTAATAGTAAAATTGAATCTTTATGCAGTCTTTTGAAATCAATAGACAAAACAACCATATAGTATTTCAAGTTTATATATATATTTTTCACGAGAGCTGTATAATGAATCAATTTACACTTTAACATAAATATTTAATTTAACAATCGGTATTGTTCATTTCGTAAAGCAAATGTGTTCTGAATCGTAGTCGTCAATTTCAATTTCATAATCGCTTTTAATTCTAACTGGACATAATTCTATGTCTAAGGTCTTTGTACTCACACCGTCGGATAATACTTTTCTTTTACAATAAAAATAGGAAAACCCATTTCTGACTTGTCGGTATGTACAGATTTGATTATTGTAAAGTTTAAACCCCATATTTATTCCAAAAGATTGTTTTTGAGTTTTTAAAACATTTCGAAATGTAGTAAGAGGGGCTTTGAGTCTTCTCTTTGAGATACCTTTGCAAGAAAATTTAAGTTGGGAGTAGTATAGTGGGGGACATTATAGCCCAGATTGAGGATCGCTACAATTGAGGATCGTGACGTAGCAAACAGGAAGGTAATTAGCGCTGAGAAGGGGGTAGTCGTAATCAATGGTTAAGATTAATACTACGTCATGTAACCTAGATTAAATCATTTGAAGAATAGAACAAAGATAACAAATAATTCAAATATTTACATTTCGTTTATTTAATACATAAAGAATTTCAGAAAAGTCAACATGTTTATAAAAATTATCATTACAAAAGGAAACAAGAAACATATTGACGCAAGCGTCAAAAATCGGCCGCAAACAAATTACTAGTAATTATTCCTTTGATAAAGTAATTCGAAACTGAAATTTGCGTGATCTGTTTTTAAAATTTCTTATACTAGTATTTATCTGTTCAAATATCCTCGTAACATGAAATACTTGCATGAGACATTGTCGATTTTCTTCATGCAAAATACATGTACAATATTATATGTGTAAGCAAACTGCCCATAGACCTCTGCGTCCGTACAAACGAATTTGATGTTTAAGTAATTATTACATAAAAGTACAAAACTAAAGATTAAACTTAGCTATAGTTTTACTTTAATTTGAACGGAACAAATATGAAATATGTGGGACTCTCTTAGAGGATTTTAACAACCCCCCAAATCCATCTACCGGTAGATCCACCACTACATTTCTTCTTTCAGTCTCTTTGTTTTGGTGTTGAGATGTGGCGGGAAAATGCTTGGCACATTGTAAAAACGCGCTTTACCCTAGTCTCATGGACAAAATTGTCGAATGGTTCTGTGCTTTTAAGAAATCAATATTTCATAAAATTTTTGAAAAATTTCCATAGGAAATGTATAAATATACACGGCATTTTAAAATAAGTACAACAAATCCTGTCTAGGCTGTTTAAAAAGAGAAAGTAAAAATTGTTGATATACAATGTGGTCTTTGTTTTAGACTATGCCTACATAAGACACTTCGTGCTAATTTTCTCCGCACTTCAGTATTGTCAGAGTTTGTCAATCAGGATTGGATGAAATATTTACCCAATTATTTATAAAAATTTTATTTTATGATTATTGTGCTTTTTGTTAAACATTTAGAATGTCTTTGTTCAATATTCTATACTATGAATGTTATTAAATATTTTATTCAAATTGTTCTAACTCCGCAGAAACGCACGGCGACTTAAAACTTTCATATCAACTAACCGACCGCCTCCTGGCGGCCGGTAATCAATATGTCAGTCTGGTGGGTGGACGCCTCTGTCTTGTCGAACGGCGGAATGTTCCTGGTTGAGAAGCTGAGATGACTGATGGGGGGGGGGGAGGGGGGCTCGAACTTGAATACGTACAACTTGGCCTCTTCTCCTCATACATACCGTCAGATGATCACTATAAGAAGTTTAAATTCCTGATGACAACTGCGTCAAACTCGGTTAGCGACTGGGACTCGATGTCCACCCGTCTCCTCAAACATTCTCTTAATCGCACAAACGATCATCACCGACAAAATCAAGACAACCACAACCGTTTTTCCAAAGATAACATATATCCAAGGTTTGTCTAAATAAAGAAAGGGTGGCTTTAGAAACAACTTCTATATAATAGTAATTTAAATCCTTTATTTTATTTATTAAAAATTATTTATTTTTTAATTCAAAACTTACCGAATGTAATAGCTGCCAATTCGACGGTTCTGACGGTGGTTGTTGCAACAATGTCTTTGACCCCACTGCTGTAATGGGCGTCGTGAAAAAAAGAAGAGAAAAACATAAATTTCAATTTTTATTCACTTTTTAAATTTTTTTCTAAAATAACATCGATTCAATTAAAAATTCTTGACGATATATTTCCCTGACAAGTTTTTCTTATCAGAATTGAAATTATTGTTAATTTTTTTTATGGCATAGATAACAAAATAAATAAATAAAAAAAATATAATTACCTGACAAGTGAGGAAGCCTATGCAGACCGTCGTCCAGGGGTTTTTTGTGATGTCATCGCAATTAGCTTGTGGGTCGTGGATGACCAGCCTGGTCAGTGCTGGATATCCCTCAATGTTGATCTCTCCCATCGCCCTCTCCAGGATGAGGAAGTTGGCCATCGCGTAATTTCCCCTTTCGAACTCCCTCCAGTCCCGGCACTGCACTACCCCCTCTGACACACCGCACCGCGCATCAACGTGAACCACCAGAATAACTAAGAACATGAACATCGTGTCTCTTCGAATTTGGAATTAAGATGGCGAATTTTTTCCTTCATCTCTTATATAATGAATAATGACACATTCCAATTAGGGGTGGAATGGTCATTTAAATTACGAGGTCATGAGGACAGCCAAGGCACTTCTTTAATCGCTGGAAACATGGCATGGAACAAGCTATTTTCTTGCATGTGTAACATACATAGCTTACACTTTTCTCCACTCAGCAAAGTCTACATTCAAAATACGTAATTGGAAATCGGGCGTACATATAACAGACCTGCCTACCCTTTTCATTGCAATGGTGTAATTTCAGTACATTTGTTGGTGGAATTTCAGAGGTAAAAGCGTAATCAATCATGTTTTCCTATTTTCTTTTTTACTATAATCCTTTTTTTCAAAACAACTGAAATTGTACATTACTAAACTAAGCTTGTATAAACTTATCTTAATTTTTCAAATCATTCAGTTGCAGAAAAGTGTAAAATTCCAGTATCCTATATCAAACTCAAATAAACCGTACACCCTTAATAGAGCATTTGATAAATTTGTATCAAATCTCTTAATTGAAAGCTTGCATTTGAATGTTAAAACAAATTGTACATTATTACATTCTTTTTTATCTTCTTAACACTCACATTTCTGTATTTTGTTCTAAGCAATGTTAAAATAAACTAAATTGAACATGGAAATGGCTGTACCTTTTGCAATATCGTTTAATAGTTAACGTCAGTAGTGCCTTTTAGTCTTCTTCCGAATCTTCGCCATACCAGTTTACATTTAACAACTGGTTGTATTACGTACATTATCGAACTTGTCCTCTTTGAATTACTTTTATCATTTCAGCATTTCGTACGTTAACCCTTAGACGGAATTTTAGATGGAATTTTAACCAAAATATCAAAAGCGTAAAATTAATATAGGTGGCGTAATAGCGTAATTTTGAGCTAAAAAGCGGAAGAATTACGCCAAAAGCGGAAGGGTGGGGAGGTCTGACATATAACCCCACCTCACCTCTCCGGTCTGTTCAATCATTCTGTGGCTCATGATTTTTTGAGGGGGTTCGAAAGAGAGTGAGGGTTCTGTACTGGTCGAGTTTTAATACAGGGCTTTTTATAAGAAATTTGTTTAGTTTGTTATTACTCTGATTTACTCAGGTACTCAAGGGTGGTCAGTTTGAGAAGGTGTAATAACATCCTTCTTCTTTATAAAACACAACAATTCCATTGTAACAAAGGAAGTGATAGTTTTGAGTTTATTACAAAAAGAACTTAATAGATTTATCTGTGTAAGTAATGTCTGTTGGTTAATTAACGTGTTTTCTTTTTTCATTGTGTCGTCTACCAAAACAACACATCAGTCTACATTTACTTAAGGTAGTTCTTTACTCGGCACTAAATGGCCTCAATCTTAAAAAATCCGCTTTTAAAAGATACACATACATCCCAGCAATGGATAGATACAAGAAAAATGATATGTCAACATATTTACTTTTCCGCTATTGCCTATCGGAATATATACCCCGAAATGTAAAATACTGAAAATTTACCTATCCTAGATTTTGTTGTATTTAAATGGATTCAAGTCTAAATATTCGATTTCAATACCATAAAGAGAGTAGCAATATGTTAGTCAACAATATATAATCATTGTTTTGCATAAATTGATGCACTTTGTTAGGCTAACGTATTAAAATTTAATATAAAAAAATATGTTCCACAGGTCAATCTCGGTCATAAAAAAAATTATGGACTCAAACTTCGTAAAATTGTATTATTTTTACTGAATAATATTTAAGAAAAACATTAAGCTAAAAAAAATTATATGTTGACGAATTACTTTTCGTGGTTTGAGCTCTACACTAAAGGACCCCCCCCCCCCTAATTTCCTTATTCCAGAAATAATATATTGCCACATTTTCCTGTTATACTATTAATTTTTGAGTGTATATTTGTATTAACAAAGTTGTATATATTTAAAACAATAATTAAACACACCCAATACCTATTGTCACTAAAATTTATCTAATTTTACTCTTAAAAAAATTAAAACACACTTGTCTGTAAATTGGAGACAATGAAAATGAAAGTGATTGACTGATTCTCACATACTGGATAATTTTGTTACAGAAAGTAAGTATGCTGTAAGTGAATCAACTTTTGTCAAATACTTGTATTCAAAAGATAATTTTGCATTAATTCGTGGGTAAGCAGGTTGGGGGGGGGGGGGTGCGTCTTATACAAAATTAATAATCAAAGTAAATTTTGTACTGTTTGATTTCAGATTAGTAAAACTTATAAATTGTCTAAGTCAAATCGTAGTCATTACTTTTCTTCCGAATTATCACTATTAGCTTAATTTTGGCTGCCGACAATAGTCGCGAGGGTTTGATACAAATCATACATGTTATGATGTAGCAAGTTCGTGGTCCGTGTTATCGGCACGGCATATAGCACATGCATCACTCACAGAAATATCGTTTTATTACCTTATTATTTCTGTCAAGCCGAAGTTGTTCCCAGCCTTCTTTTTTAATTATTTTATCCTTAAAACTGTAGAATCAGTGTTTGTACGTTTGTTGACGCGAGCGACTTGGAGCAAAATCGTTACCGGATATTTAAAACGCTAAGTAAAAGCCAAACCAATATAGTTAAAAAATCACATCTCGGAAAAAGGAAGCGCGGTTCCGGTTCTGCTCTTCGTAAATGACGTAGTGCGAGTATAGATCTACTTTATAATTTCACTTATTTATTTCCCCAATAATCCATACAACGTCATTGTTTATAATTCCCTTTTTTTTTATTCCCTCAATTCCTCACAACAAACTGATTTTTTTTAAATGAGGATATTTGGTTTGGAGCAAAATGGAATTAAAAAAACACAATTAATTTATTTGAATTTTTTTTAATCAATACATATCATTTATAAAATCAGACACCAAGCGATCATTTGCATGCGTATTTAAATCATAAAAGTCATGTACAATGTTATTCATGAAACGTACTTTAATTCCTTATAAGATGAAATGGATACAATAGTGTCCACACAAGGAAGAAGTCTCCGACTAGTTTCTGGAATCGATCTATTTATATCTCGGTCCATTAAATATTAGAATACTTTGAAATCTCCTATGATAATGTTCCGGGGGATTTCCGAGGGAATCAAAAACTCTGTAGATCCTTTTGAGGGAAGATGAAAAACGACCCAATGTAAACCTTTTCCCCCGCATTCATCTGTATTCACGATCCAAAATTGGTGCTTTTTTGCAACAGCAGATTCGAAATCATATACTAAAAACCACTCATATAAACGATCGTTCTCTTCCACATAAATTCCTAGTTGATCTAATTAATCAAATACCGATTGCTGATAAGAATAAAACCTACCGGGAAATTTCCGTCCTCTGATGGCGTTTTAAGCTTTTGGGATTACTGAAATGACGCTGACAAGTTTTACACTGAAATTTTCTTGCATATGCATTGAAGTTGGAGATGTACGACAAGTGGTTTTCGAAAAGATTTAAATACATAATGTTTGAAAATTTTCCTTTTGATTGATAGACAGACAGAACCGACTGATCTTCGTTTAACGGAAATATATTTACACTTTTTTCAAAACATTTTTTGAAATAGACAGGAAAAGATTTACAATCAGAATTTATTTCTGTTTGACGGGATCGGTTATATTTCACCCATTTTTCGAAAAGGATTCTAGTGCGAGATTCTTAACTCGAAGTATTGTGACTTTCGTGTACAGCTAAACAACGGAACGCACACAGATTATTTTTTGTAAAACTGCCCTTTTCTGTCTGTTGATAAGGAAACTATTTTAGCAGATTGTTGAATGTGGTCGGGTAAAATAATTTCGCCTTTACCCAACACGAAATTTAAGTGATATATAACGATTCGTAAATTGGTAATCAAGTATGGTTTCCATTTCGTGTCAGGTCGTTGACGTAAAATGTAATCAGTAATATTCATTTGTCTCATGCGTAAGTATAAACGGTGTAAATGTGTTCGCTTCGACACGTACATTTAAAAAAAATTATTATATATATATATATATATTCAACAATTTGATTGGTGAGTATTTTTAACAAAACTTACATTATTGCGAGTTGAAGTCGACGTATCTAATATAATGATTTTACGAATCGGGCTCTCCGCAGTCTGCAAAATAATGAATTGACACACAAACTAAAATTTTGATTCTTTTTAGTGTATTCTAATTAACAAACAATATCTAATGAATGATCAAGTATGTACATGTATGTATATATACAAATATATATACTTACTTTCCCGCTTCCAAACTCTAATCTTTTTTTGATGCGTCCAAACACATGTCTTTTAGGGGTGGACGCCACCAGGGGTCTTGCCGAGAGCCACAAATCATTTGTCTATAATATTAAAAAAATAATGAATGTGAGATATTGCCTAAAAATCTGTTCCTTGCATCTTCCATTGTGCTGTTTAAATGATTGTAAGGTTAAGTACTTCCTTCTGCTTTTATCACATTTAAATAATTTGTCTTTGTGTTCATTCTGTACATGAAATCTATATTGAGAAGACAATTTGAATTCTTTTTCGCAGTGCCGAAACTTTGTTTACTTTTCGCATATCCGTATGTGACGTTCAAGATTATCTTTCCTGTTTATTTCCTTCCCACTTCTCTTTCGCTTAAACCAAGATGCACGGTTTTCATATGACGGTCTCTGTCTTTTAAATATTTAAATTTTTATCGCATCGGGAACATGCGAACTCCATGGTTTCAAATTGTATAGGAAGTATTTTTTCATTTACTTTTAAACTTATTAAACCTATGTAAATCCGTCCTTAAATCCGTCCTTTTAGGATATTTCTACGTGTAACTTTTACTTTTCCGGAAGTTTAAATCGTCATATTTCAAAAAATCTCTACCCTTTCTTATATAAAATTTAGATTTTCATTAAAGTCATGTTCCCGGTGTTATACTTCGTTATACATTTCTTTCCTTAAACACACTTAGTACACCTATATATATATATATATATATATATATATATATATATATATATACGTCTATCAAACTTATTACGCCAATGTATATCCGTCTTTGTTGGGTATTTCTACGTGTAACTTTTACTTTTCCGGAGGTTTTGAATCGTCATCTTTCAACAAATCTCTACTCTTTCTTATAAAATCTAAGATTGTCTTTACAATCATATTCCGGGTATTATACATTTCCGTAAACTACTGTCAGCTGACCACTTCCGCTTGTTTCCGTCATA